AAAAGAAAACATTTGTAGACTCAAAAATTATTTGCTATATCTTTACTGATATTAGCCAGTTAAGAATTTTATTTTATAAATATACATAATTTATTATTGTAAAGTTTGGTTTTAAAGAAAAATTAATCATTTTTACAATAAACATATGGAATATTTTATGTTTAGTTTTCCACTTTTTCGAAAAAACGGAAGAAAAATAAATAGTTTCTTCATAGAACCTGGGCATAATATTCTTAAAAATATTTTGTTAAAAAAATTAATACACCATATATCATCTAATTCAAGTTTGATTTATTTTTTTTTTGAGGTGATATAATTAATTTTTAAGTAGTTATGTGTATGATTAACAAAACAAAGTTTTCTTAAGTCAAAATTAAGTACACCTAATTTTTTACATTTCAGGGAGCTTTTAGACTTTTATATCTGTTCAACACTGTACGTCCTATTCTACAGTAGCCATAGGAGAGTAAAAAAACAAACAATAAAATGATGTGATTTATTAAAAAAAAATAAATAAAAAAAAGAGAAACCTTTTCAAAATTTCGGATTATTTACTTTTCACATATTTTTATTTTGTCAGTATCAGGAATGGCTTACCTAAATATTTAGAGTACTCAAAAGAGATTAGTGAATATTCATATCTTAATTATTTTGGTTCGAATTAACAAGGGACAGAATGGTTTCAGTGGAATACATTCAAATAACTATTAAATAGACTTTACGAGATTCTTACTGACAAAAGATAATATATGCATTTTACAGAAATTCACATACACCCATCTTTCCCTCCACAGCTGTTGTTTAAATACACCAGTCGTAACTGTCAAGTTAGAGCCAAAGTGTGTACAACCACATATATTTTATCTTATCCATCAATATTTCCTTTTCAACAGGCATTTCTCCTGCCAGTAGTACAAGGAAATCTTTAGTTCATCCAATCCGGGAAGGCGTATCTCAAGGATCAATACTCAGTTGTTTATTATATATGGTATATCTCAGCCCGGAAATTGATACCGACTACTGACAAACTCAACAAACGGAGTCATTATCTTAGCTTGGAGTTACGAATACCTTCGATAGATACGAAAAATATTAAATACACAACTGTATTTATTAAATGGAAACAAAAAACAATCATATAGGAGTGAGTTTCACTCCCGTGTCCGAGATTGAGCCAAACTAATCTTTGATAAAAATATTGTATAATATTTATATAGTAATGAGAATAATTAATATATAATAATATGGTGTTGTATCTCTACGCTATTAAAATTATCGTGATAATAAGTACTCCTATGAGAAATCTCGAAAAATGAAGGTGGAAAAAGGTCTATTTAGCACTGTATTTTTTACTTTCACTTACCTATATATGTAATATAAAAATGTTCAGTCAGAAGATATACGTATCATATATCGTTGTAAAGCGGAGAATTTTAGAAAAAATAATATCAAATAAATAAAGTTGTAGAAGGTAACGGAGAGTGACCAAAAAAAATATAGATAATAATTTCAGAAAACTAACATTATTTAACGTAAACCATATGTTTCCAGGATTTTTGTTTTGATTAGGTATCTATTGGCCGTTTATTACAAAAAATGATCAAGTAACCTTATAGACAATTAAATTAGTGAATAATTCGATGAATTTTCCCTTAGTTAACAGTATAATAACTAATAATCCTGCAATAGATATACTTTCTAAACTCTCTAGCCATGTATGAGCATTTCGGTTGACAGAATGACTAACTGGAATTTCAACATTCTTTATTATTAATTTTAGTGATGTTTCTAGTGGCAAAATGTATACCTTTATTGAAAGTTCTATATTCCAACACTGCAATAACCTACTCCAGCATCAACTTAATCACTGTCTCTATAAATACAACTTTTCCAACTAGAAATATCACTAAAATGACATTACTCAAAAATGTTGAAATTAGAGTTAGTCATTCTGTAAACTGAAAGGTCCAGAGACTGAAGTTGTGTGGTTTATAAAAGCAGATGGAATGACTAGATTTTATTGCCTACCGTCGATATAATAAATATACTTTTTGTAATTTCAATGTTCTTAATGATTTGTTATCTGGAAGATTTAAGCTATAGCTCCGTTAAAAGTGTTCTTCAAAAAAATTGGGGTAGCCATACATTGCCAGAAAATAATTTCTATTCATAGAGAGCGGTAAGTAAAAGTTGTGTGTTACCCGCACCATGTTTTTCCCATTTCTGTTAATCAATAACCGTAACATTAACTATTATATTTTTTCATTAACAAGTACAAGTAATAAATTGAAAAAAATAGGCTATTTGTCTGATTAAGTATAACCAATAAGCTATTTAATATTTCATTGTCAAAATTGAAAAGTTCAACTCGTCAAATAAAATAAATTAACATTTCCGGCAGACCAATAATCATGCCGTATAAATGTTCTTTATACTTTGAAATTTATAATTTATGTATATTTAATAAAGCATTTCTCACTTAAAATAAATTAACATGCTGAATGCATCATAAATGACGAACCGAAATGCAGAAATAATAAAAATAACTATTTTTTATTTATCATAGGGACCATTTCATCATCAGTAGTTTTTATTAATTTTATAATTTTAAAACGTTTCGTCCTGCACCAGAGCCATTTTCAAATCTCATGTTTTCATCATTGATAATCCTCATGACAATATTATATTTCAAAATATACACTCCATGTAAACCTTATAAGGCGATGGAAAACCCAATCTGACATATTTGTTCTTTTCTCAAACTAATGAAGAAGGATTGAAAATGGCTCTAGACCTGTCGAAACGTTGCCTTATCCCCACATATATTATTACAGTAAGGCTGGAAATCGGTTTTGTACCAAATATAAGCTCCTGTCATACTCAAATATCATGAATGGGGTACCGTTGGATTCAGAATTTCATGGGGGTTAGCGAATCATATTCTCCACTTTTGGTTTTCTTTCTAAAATAAATAAAGTCGATGCAAACATTTTGCTAGGCTTCAATACTGGAAGGGTGGTAAGTCTCTAGATCGATACGGGACAAGTGGGGCTTTGAAGATTTTGATGCGTTCAGCAAGACCCGGATAGTTTCTTTGGAACTATCGGATCTTGAGTTTTTAAGGCTTAGGGTTCGTATCCACACAAAATCTTACCTTAATTGTACTACTGTCATTGAATACATGTCTCATTTCTTTGACTTGAGGCCTCTTTGATCAGCAATCCGTGTCATCGTTAATTCTTCACCAAATCCTAAAATTGAACCACCAATTTCGAAGGCTTCCTTCTCCTTCAGGCGGGCAAAATAATCCAATCGCCCCGAAATTCAGGCAAACAAGTTATGAAAGAAAAGAAACATTATTCGCGAATAACTAAAAAATTACACACTTTTCCTCACATGATTATATAAAAGATTCTCTACAACAGGAAAAAAAAAAACTTAGAATTTTTAGCAATGATGCGGCTTTTTGAAATTTATAAACACGTTGGTTCCAAACATTAATGAATTTTTAAATTAATTTTTGTTTCCTTTGTCGATTATATTCATCGATAAAGTAACAATTGATTTCTTTTGATATCTTGCATTATTTTCTTTTCTTATTAATTTGGCATTTGATCACTTAACAATATGCTGAATACGAATTTTTAGCAGGGGCATATTAGTAAAATTATAAAGAAATAAAACAATTGGTGATCAAATGGCATAGTTCTTGTGAATAAAATAATTAATTGTACCATTAATTAAAAAATTATGGATAGAAGTACAAATAAATAATACAAAAAAGCTTAGATTTAATGAATAAGATACCAGATATTTACCCAATAAAGTTTGTTCTTAAACATGGTTATTAGCAAATTATTAATAGATATATTAATTGGTAATAAATAGCATTTACTTTAATATTGAAATACTGTTATTAGTTGTTTTGGTTTATGTTCCATCCCATAAATTAGTGCATAGTAATAAATAAAGGTTATCTAGTTGGAGAAACTAGAGAAAACAATTGTTGATTAAAAAAACAAACAGGAATTTCTTTTATTTGGAACTTAATTGGAGCATATTGTTATCGAATGACGGCATCGCAGTGCGTAAACAGAATAGGGCTTAACTGTTGGTAAATAGGAGGTCATCGTTATGCGGGACCAACCCTCCCCCTGCTATAAAAATTCTTAATCCAACCCCACACTCCCTTCGCCAACACCCCATGCATTATTTACTTCAATCATACTTAAATGAAATTATCTACATTTTGTAATTGAGATTATATTATATAATACATATTTATATTATTTTTGTACTATAATATTACATATATGCAGTAACTGCAATGGAGGTAATTTCTATAGCTTCAAAAACGGTTCTATCACTTCAGAACGCACATAAATAGAGAACTGGTTATTTCAGGCTTCAATTGTTGTAGTTATTTTTTGGCTTCTCATAATTAACATGAAGTGACAAATTGTATAGTAATTATTCGATATGGAAATATTTATGGTTAATCATGTCAATAATTTATTTTTAGAATATTTAATTATTGGATTGGTCTCTCCATCAAGGGAGGAGGAAATACTAAAAAAATACTTTAAAAAAAGACTTAAATTAACCCCCAGAATCAATCTTGAATTAAATCTGAATTAGCAAAAATTCTTTAAAATTATAGAGTTAGTCCTTAAACTTCTAAAATCCACAAATATGATATAAAAAAAATATGACCGAATAAATAATAGATTGCTAGAAAGTAATAAATAAAAATAAATTATAATAAAAAATTACGTTGATGATCAATGAATTTAAGCCATTTAACAGAAACGAACATACCCACAGAAAATTGGGTAAATGCGGAGTATAGGCATTGATTGAAATAAATTTTTTTTTTTTTAATTTTTGAAAATATTTCTCAATAAATTTTAAATGTTTTAAAAGCCATCAATATTTAACACAGAAACTAAAAAAAAATGGATAACTATTTAAATTTAATTAAAATAACCATCACTACTTACCAGTTTTAAATTCACCCTGCAGAAGATCTGAAACGAAAAAGAAAAATCTATTAGTTTACTTTTAATATATTACTGTATAGTGATCGGAAAAATAATATTTTTTTTTAAATATAACAATTAATTATTATCTCAAAGAAATTCCTTGATAAAATTATCCAAAAAGAATTCCTTACTTTTATCATTTTATTCTGACTGATAATTTTATAGAGGAACCGAATTCTAGAATCGATTAAAAAGACAATATTTGAATAAATTATACTTTTTCATTAAAGAAAAATTTTAATTAAGACGAAAACAAAATAATATTAATAAAATATATTCAAGACAGAGATTTATAATTAAAGTATTAAAAATGAAGAGAGTTAGGTCACTTTTGTTGGGATTTTATTGCATCTACGGACAGTCGATATTGAAGATCTTTTCGAAGAATTTTTCCTTTTTCATTTGATCATATTGCCTTCGGCGGAGTTGTTTTCCATTGATTCATAAACCCCTTTGTCTCATTGTTAGCCCGAATCTTTTCAATATCTTCCACTTCTTTCATCATTACCTCCTTTCTCCCCTACTCGCGCATTACCTTGCAAATGCTCCGGAAAAAGCATACCGTTATAAAAGTTCTTATTTATCCATATATGATTGGCATTCATTGGCTTCTTCGATCTTCTGTATAAAAAATAACGTTCAGAGAAGATTTTGTGTCCATATGGGGATACAGCCTTTCTAGGAAATAAAACAAAAAAAATCGTTATGAAAAAAATGGATAACAATAATGCTTTACGTTATCAACATATTTTCATGTGGCTACAGCGTTCTTACTCAATCTCTACCGTTATTTAGAACCAGAGAAGCGGTTAAAAGAGTAGCGCAGAGATTTACTGCAGCACTGCTTTTCTTTCCGTCAGTGGACACTAACCTAGTTCGGACAAATGCTACTCCGAGTACCGAGTACTGAGTAAATATATTACAAAATTAAAAATATTACAAAAACAACAAAAATCACATTTTTTAAAAGTTGAGGAAACTTGTTGATTTTATCTTTGGGTTTTATCTAAGCAAATAATTAAGGAAAAGTAGTCCAGACAAAAATTATGCACATAGAAAAATATTTATTTTTTAAATATCTCGGTAAAGAGCGACTTACGTACGTTTCTTCTAGGATTTTAGAAACTATATATATTATTCTAAACCACATTTTTGAATTATTAAATTTTAAAAATGAGATTTAAAAATATATTAATTTTGAATAGTTGCCACAATATGAATAGTGGTTATAGTGAGAAAAGAGTTCGTTCACACCACATTTACACAATGTATAATTAAATAAAATACAATACAAGTAAAATAATAATCCAAAAGTATATAGCATATATTATATTATAATCTATCTATTGTATACAAAGTTTTTAGAGGCTGATATTTGATTTTACACATAAGATGAACGCTGTGCGGGATTATGTAACTTAAAGATAAATAAAATAAAATATCTCAGAAAAACTCTTCCCCAATATTTACACCCAGGCGAGGGAACTCCGGAACCAGAGATGGTCAAATGCTACTTGAGTACCAAGTATGAGTAGTGAGTACCAAGTTATTTACTCAAATACTTGCCTTTTTAGATTAGCAAAGAATTTAATTACAACTTCAGTTGATGTCGAAGGATTAGCTGAAGTAGTGATCCAATTCCCAATAGTGATTCGATTTAGGTAAAATAGTTGGTACTCACTACTCAAAATAGCATTTGCCCATCTCTGGTTCCGGACTTCCCTCACCTGGGTGTAAATATTGAGAAATAGTTTTTCTGAGATATTTTATTTTATTTATCTTTAAGTTTATTAGTTTAATTGTTGAAAACTTACATCCTGAAGAGTAAAAAAAATCTTAGCTGGGAATAGGGCGCAATATCCGTAAACCCGCACGACGGCGGGGCTCTGCGTGCATTTCGTCTTATGTGTAAAATAAAATATCGGTCTCTAAAAACTCTTTTATATAATAGATGGATTATAATATAATATATATTATATACTTTTGGATTATTATTTTGCTTATATTGTATTTTATTTAATGATATATTCTGTATATAAGGCTTGAACTTTTCTCACTATAACCATCGTTCATATTGTGACAACTACTCAATAAAATAACTTAAAAAATTTATATATTTTTAAATCTCATTTATAAAATTTAATAATTCAAGAAATGAGGTATAGAATAATGATAAAGTTTCTAAAATCCTGGAAGAAACGTACGCAAGTCGCTCTTTAACGAGATATTTAAAAACTAAAATGTTTTTTCTTTGTGCATAATTTGCGTCTGGACTACTTTTCCTTTACAGCCCAAGGATAAATTCAACAAGATATAAATTTTAAATAAATATGATTTTTTTTTTGTTTTTGTAATATTTTTAAATCAGAGAAATTATTGTATTCTATAATTTAAATGGTTTTTATCCAAAGTTCGGCAGAAACGTATTTTGTTTTCTCTAAAACTAATGAAATCAATGTTATGAAAAACTGTGTGGTAGTTTTTACCAAATCAGTAACATCAAAATAGCAAACAGTTCGTAAAACAAATCGTTGGTCCGGGACTCTGCCATTCTAACTTCGCAAGATCTAAGTCTTTCTCTCAAAAAAGAAATAACTCGTACCTAGCAATTTATGTGGAATGAGAGCCCGCCAAGCAAATTAAAAGATATTAAAAAAAAAAAAGTCATGGTCAACATCGAATCGTTATATCCGCAGAGTAGTGGTTGTCTTAACCAGATTTAGAATATGCCACATCTTATTACACCATACCCAATCACATCTTATTAGCAAACAGTCGCCAACACTGCAATAATACACTTACAGTCAGCCACATTTTACATGAGTGTCCTTTTTACGTATTGGGTCTAACTCTCAACTCTCAATAATTGTAAGCTCAGGACTTTCCCCTCCAATATCAAACATTTTAAGAGATGATGAAGACAAGTTATTAAGTAAGTAAGGAAAGTTAGTGTTAACTTCCTTGAAATCAAGCGAGTTGTTAAAAAAAAAAATTAAAATCTCTTAAAACTTTGATCCAGCAATAAATAAAATTAATTTGTAGGTGTTGATGACTCTGATGTTTTACGCCTTAAAACGCCAACAAACAAATCGTTGGTTTATTGCAAAAAGTCAAATGGTATTTTATAACCTTGATTCCTTAAGAACTTAGATGAGGTTTATCTCCGGGAAATTAGAATATTGTGAACTTGATACGACCTTGGCAGGTAATTTATAAGGACACCATGTATTTACTATGTATTTATAAGGATTTTACTCAAATTTAAATAATTAATTAAGGGAAATAACCGGACAATTTAGCGTGATCTCGGTCTAATAACTTCTACTGTACAACCATTGCCCAAGAAACAGCACTTTCTTAAAATCTTTTTCCTCAGGAAGATGCCGGAGGAAACTACTATGTACATAATTTTACTACAAAGAAAAATAACTGAAAATAACGTTTTCGTTAAAGCACTGCAAGTTTCTTTAAATAGTTTAAAGCATTCATGTTCAGAAAGACATTGTTAGTTTAAAGGTTTATATTCAGATCTGTTTATCTTGTTAAGTGATTTGACCTTTTGTTTTTTCGCATAAATTTCGGACGTTATTATGTTAATGAGATGCACTCACTTTGTGCTCACAATTATTATGAAACACGCATGTAAAATTCTAATTTAAATTGTACGAAACCGCGGTCCGTTGCTTGTAAATATTTTATCTTATTTATCTTCTGTCGTTGCATTCAGCTATTAAAAGTTCCATCTTCAGAAATTGTTCCTTCTAAAATAATTGTTTTGATAGCTGTTTCGGGGACAAAATTTTCCTGGCTATGTGAAATTAAAAAATATTGGATAACTTTGATACTAACAAAGCACAGAGAGCACTAAAAAGAGTTATTTTGTCTAAAGATTGGACGAGCAATTATGAAACGTATCATTATTTATAAGCAGACGATTAACATACATATTTTTTATTATATATATATATTAATATATATAATATATATATATATATATAATTATATATATATATATATAAATAAGAAAAAGGTAAAATCAGTCCTGATAAATTAATAAAAAGAAATCTTGAGAGAAATTAGGAATTTAATTACACAATGCAATTCATTGATCATTATAAGTAGTATTTCTGAAAAATTCTCAGTATCGTATGGACAAAATATCGGAAAGGAGAACCTGGAGCCTTATAAAGCCAGGAGAAAAAATCCAGAAGGATGAAAAATAGAAGATCTCATTAAACAGGGTGTCTAGTTAGCAAAGGGAAATATTTAAAGAGAAAATAGCTGAGCTCCAGAGCTACATAAAGTTTTATATAAACCATAGCAGAAAAAGAGGAAATTTAAGTTTTGTGTTTTCAAAAAAATAAGTACGCTTTTTTTTTTATAGAAAGCGGTAATTACAAAATAATTAATTTAGGTTATTAAAAACTATTTTTGTTATTGTCATATAAAAACGTCTAAATCAGGCAGTTTGTTTTTTATAAAATCATGAATTATTCGTTATTAAAAAAAATTAGAATTATTCAGCTTACCGATTTTTTTTTTATGCACAGCGAAATTAAGATAATATCATAATGTTACGAAAAGAAAAATTCAGATAGTCACTTAGTAAAATAAGGTTCAATTATTCGAGGTTTGTGTGTAAAACACTGGTGCATTATCACTTTAGATAATAAATTTTTATCTTCAGTGAAATCTCTAATCTAAAGAAAAATCTATAGTGCTTAAAAAAGCAGTATGTGTTTTAAGAATATATAATATATTTTTTAGGAATAAAAAATGTTCTATTGTGATTAATTTGTATTGATTTATTGTAGTTATTTTTGTTGCACTTTGCAAGAACAATACTAAAAAAAAAGAAATCTTTTTTGTGAATAAAAATTTAGGCAAAACAATTACTAATATTCGACAATTTTAGTTATAAAATCATGAGGGCGTTAAAAAAATCATGAATAATCTATGTTAAAAAAAAAAAAACTTAACTTAGC